TCCACAATATTTTAATCAAGGAAGGTTGAAACTCTGTGGATGTTGGCATGCCCAGTTCAGACATTCCTATCCACAGCAAAGCAGCAAATCTGAAAGCACCTCAGAGGACTATCCACAGTACACCGGTCCTTATGAGAAGTTTTTTAAATGAATCGATTAAGTGTCACGAAAACTCTTATTATCTCTAGTATTGGAGACCACATTAAGCCCCCCCCCCCTCCCCCGAACTGGAGTTTTGGAGTTTGACTTGACAAGGAATTCTTTCAGTTGGTTCCGCTCATATGTATATGCTAAGACCAAGGGCTATACCGAAACCCACAGTCATTGCTTCTGACAAGTGAATAAGGTCATTACCGAAAATTTGAGACGGCACTCCATCTCTGAAAATCACTCGAGAACTAGCATACTGAAGGCGAAAAGTACGGTTGAAAGATTTACTCTTCTCCTTCCTTCCTACTCTTTAGCGTTTGTCCCGTTTGTTGGCGGGGTCCGCTTTTCTGATGTGCTGACGCCACTTTTCCCGATTAAATGCTTGGTCGGGGTGTATGTTAACCGACTTCAAGTCTGTGTGCAACGTATCGAGCCAGCGCTGCTTTCGGGCGCCCTTAGGCCGCTTTCCGGGCACGTCAAGGTTGAGACCGATCTTACAGACACTGTCATCTTTCGCGCGAAGAACATGACCATACCATCGAAGACGGGCTTCGCGCATCTTGTCGACAACCAAGCCACGTATCGTCGTACTATAGTACTAAAAATTTTCAGCTCACTTTGTGCCTGGCATTTATGCGTAGTGGCTGGCATATGAAAGATTGAAAAAAGAAATTACGCAGAACAAAGATTCTCTAACATGTATTTCAAACAAAAACTGCACCCATAATTATCAACGCTGGAACCTACCGAATAATGCTAACTGAATGGAAGAGAGCAAGAAAAAAGAAAATACGCAGTTTCTACAAAAAGAGAACAACTCAGCACTAATGAAAAATATACTTTCGAAACATAGCGCTACTGTGACCTTGCTACAGGCATTCTGCGCTACTGTGACCTTGCTACAGGCATTCATTGTTTCACTTTTAGGCACGCTTATCGTTGGGTGCCGTAAGTGAGGTGTTTGCACCCTACTGAGGCAACTAGCTGTGTAACGCGTTCAAGAACAATGAAGTCGACTATCCCTTGCAGCGTGCTTTTATCACATCACGGTCGCGTCGTCAGTTATTTTGACAATAATTTTTTCAGGCGAAGACACGGTACCGGATAAATGCGTTGGGCATGATTGGTTGCCGACATAACGGAATGTAAGCAGACTTGCCAAGAGATGTATTAGTGACGATGACTGCGGGTGTCGCCTAAAACCCGCAAGCAAGACCCTTGTTTTCCCCGCTTATTTCACCGTTAGCGCGGGTTTCTCCGCCGTTGAGGTCGCCAACGTGAACGCTCTCTTCCTCTGCCAAAACAGTTAGAATCCAACGGCGTGGAAAGCAGCTGGGGGGAGGGTCAACCGTTGCATTCGACTGACTTATAATTTTTTATTGACCGCCCCTTCTCGGAGGTCTTACCACAATAACCCCTTGTGGTAATTATGTGTTTGAAGGCAAGCTGCGGGCTGTGGTGTACCAGAGCACTAGTGATAAGTGAGAGGCGAAATGCGAAGTGAGGGAGAAAAGGAAAAAAAAAATCATGAGAAACGCCAAAATTAGGGGTTAATCTACAGTAAGGTCGGATGTGGTGCGACGGCGAGACAGGCCCACCAAAAAAGGCAAAACACGCGAGAAAGCACGCCGTTCAAGAAAGCATGGTGATCTCTATGACATTGTGGGATGGGAGCGGTTGCAATGGGGCGATGATGCAGCGGTTAGTAAAGATAGTTGCCGTAATCGCGCAAGATTGCGTGACAAATCTATTCTGATGTTACGTATTTATCCCACCCTGCGCCGTGCGATTGCGTACAGCAGGCGATTACAGTACTCTCACGGCTAGTTCCGCTATCGTTGGCACCCTGTTTTCGATTGAATAACTACGGGTAGAACTTGTGATGAGAGGAAATAATAAGACTAGATGACTTATATCTAGTCTAGCAGTTTTTTGCATATATCTTCGAGACGTCAGCAGTGAATATTTGTGGTAGTGGATATAAAAAATTCCTATCTCCTATCCAGCAAAAGTGGAAGCGAACACTGAACATAACATTTAATGCAAAATGATTGGAATCGTGAAGAACAGTTTTCCCATTTATAGCGCAATAGTTAAGCTTAGCTACGTAAGAACTGGCTATTATCTTCCAACGCAGAAGCTGTAAAATCCCACACAAGGTTGGCGAATAAAAGCGCCAAGTCATCATGCTCCTCCCACCCCTGCTGGTCCCCCTAGTACTAGGCTGTGAGTCTAGGGGGATGTGTAAGCAGTTTTCATTACCCTCAAAGTTCACCCTCTTCTCCAAGGCTCAGTCAGCGTGAGCATGCCCCTTTTGAGTACACTAGCGCCTCAAGAAATTGATTCGCAACATTAACGCAAACCGCTCCTGTAAGCGGATTATCTCCAATGGAATTGAATTACATTTTACGGAATCTTGACAGAAAGAATGGATACTCGTGGCCTTATCAGCTACAAGTATTGCGCTCTCAATTTCAAGGCACAAGTCTCCTCTACAAGGACACCTGCGTGGAGACTACTATGTGCTAATAAATCAACTACCAACTCGAAAACAAGGTGGCCGTGAGACGCAACTACTAAGCAGTTCATGATGAAAACTACCTCACGAATTAGAACTCTCTCTTCCCCTCAGGTGCCAAGTAAACTTCGTCCCCTCGAGTCCCTCACTGCACTGGTACAATGCATAATGGCATCAATGATTGTTCTAGTGCGGAACATTATAAATACACTAGCACATTACCCTATTTTGCATGTTAAGAAGTAAATGACATGAGGAATTAGAGTGGTTTTCCAGGCGCGCGCAATGGTTTCCAACGATATGTAGAGCATCTCTCGGTACCCGTCACCTATCTGAAAGGAGAAATGCATGGGCTCAACTCAGTACAATATTCGGAGCTGTGCTAGTTATGAATTGATTAGTCTTCCCATTTCCTTTCATCACGAGCCCCGCCTGTGATCATCAGTTACAAATGTCAACGCCAGTAGAACTAGGCGTGGGTGTACTGTAATCGCTTGCGGTACGCAATTGCACCGGCGCAGGGTGGGATATATACGTAACATCGTTTCGTATCACTAGGTGGGGTACGCTAGGGCTCGTATTCATTCGCGGTATCCTTCGATACCAGTTCCGCGCTATCCGGGGCTTGCCTTTGAATGATGTTTGGTTTCTGTATAAAAATCCCTAAACAGTCATGTCGCATGGGCGGGCTCAACAGTGTCGGTCAAAACGCTCATGCTCGAAGGAAAAACCACGCCTGTTGAAGAACACTGCTCACGATGTAGTGGGCGCCGTGGTCGAATTCTCCGTATAAGGAAAAGACGGACGTTTCCGTTTCCAATATGGACGGATAGCGAAGGTCTCTCTGGATTCCAAGCAGCTATCCTGAAGTTTTCCGGAACAGCGTTCCTTGTTCCATAGCGCCAGCGCGTACTAGACCAAATCAATGCCCATTGAAAAAGAGGAGAGTTCTGAAACAGCTATGAGGGGTACTAGGATCGCAATGTGGGTACTGGCTAGTGAAGGGAATGGTTGCGACTCACAGGATCACGAATTCTTACCATTGCTCCACTTTCAACTTTCATCACTAATCGGCCCGTCATTCTGTACGTTTGGGAAGGCAAGAGTGGTTTCTGTGACCCCCTTCAGCATCCATCGCGAACTTTTTTTCGATTCATACGGGATCCACAAACTACTCGCTGCCTCGAAGAACTCCACTATAAGGTCAAAGGTTTCAGGGCGTCAAGGGGCGAAGAAGGTGAAATATACCCAGTCCAAAGGCAGGCGGGTCCCTGACGATGCGGGACGCTCTGCGCTGCACTGCGAAGAGTGTGCTCCAGCAGTTTTGTAGGACGAAACCCGCGTCGTTCCTGCCGCTGCACGCCCACCCTCTAACCGTTTAGCACGAGAGCTTCCCGTTGAAGTAGGCAGCACCGATGAGAGCCGCATCAATGCGGAAATCAACGGGCAAAGAAGAAGTTCCATTTCTTGCGGTTCTGGGCCCACTGACCATCTCTACCTTGGCTTTAACGGACTGCCTTCTGATCGTAAACTCCGCCTTTAATGCATTTCAGTTAATAATTTTAGAGCAGTTACACGAGCTCCAATTCCCCATGTAAAATTACCCCTGTTTAATCTAACATAGCTGTTGACGCAGTAGGCACAACGGCCTCGAGCGTTGAAAACAGCAATAGCTATTTTCCAACCCGCGCACAAACTATTTGGACTCACAACGCCGTAAAGAATTGTTGACATATCAAAGAGATATCTTCGCAAAAACCCGCAATTTTTGCTGTAAAATTATATACAGGATATTTGCAGCCATCGCAGCACCATGAGACAAAAGGAACTTAAGCAGTGCAGTGTATGTGGGTATATAGGACAGCTGTTATAAGGACAAATGCGGGGTCGCCTTCTTAGCGCCAAATACATAGTGGCGTAAATACGCTCGAAGGAACTACTTAAAACAACCGCGCTATCCTAGAATCGTACTTATACGCACACACAACTTGAAAATTATAACTTCCCGTAATCCAAACGGCGAGATACATCTCTTTGAATTGAAAGGTATTGCATGTTATAAGAGGACCAAGAGGACGAAACGCCGAATTGCAGGCCGTGAATTGAAAATGACTTGGCCAAAGCGAAACACTGTTTGGTGCTAATGGCTTGCTACATTTCGTAAAAAAGGTCACCTTGTTGGTCCCAATTTAAGTAAAAACTACTGACGACCGCATGAGACTGAAGCTCCACTACTGTAATTCATGCAGGCTTCGAACTTGCTTTACTGAGTCCTAACTGAAGAGAGCCTTTTTATATAACAGAGTCGTCGCCGAGAGTGATTATGGTCACGTTATTTTGGGTGTGGAGCACACGGTCCTGCTTGTCGTCGTGGATCCCGCCAGTTCCCGTCCAAGCCGGTTGGCTGGTCACGGCCGCGTCTAGGATCTTCGAAATCGTCATCGTCACCTCGAACGACTGTGACCATCTTTCCTGTGTGCTCATCACGCATCATTGATGTTCGCAATTGAGGTGCTGGTTGTTTCAGCTCGAAGCCGTCACTAAATCGAACTCTTTTCTCATCCAAAAACGAAACAGATTAAAACTAAATGGGAATCAGCTAAATGAATATATGAATTTTCAGTTCCTCTGCTTCGCTGGCTCGGCCACAAAAGTTATTTAATTCTTTGCAACTTCCCCTACAACTTTGAAAGGTTTAACAACTAGATGTCAATGATTCGACGGTCGAAACACAAGTATTTCATGTCAAAAATAACATACTGTGCTAATTACCTGCCAACTGAACGGTTGTGTGGAAATCCAGTTGGAGTATTCTGCCGGGGATCCGGTGGTGGTATATGCTGGAGATTTTGAGATGGCATACGCCTTGATGGGATCTGAATTCAGTTGAAAACTCAAGACAATCTCATTAGAACTGAAGCCGCATTAGACCTTAGAAAGCGGTAATGCAATTACTCGTGGATAATGAAAGTGAATAGGTTCGAAGAGATCACCTGCTTTATTCTACAGGGTGGGGCAATGTTATAAGAAACAAATAAATTTAGCGTAAAAGGTGCTACTGGTTTGTTGTGCAGAAAAAAATCTGAAGAAGAAACACTGCTTATATCCAAAGTGATCCCCATAGACATCAACACAAGTTCGAAGACTTTTGGGCAACGTGCTGACCGTGACGAGGAGGTACCCTTTGCATCCGGCGATCAGTAACACTGTGCTACAGACTTCACAACAAGTGAAGATGGTCTTTAGGAAACAGATAACTAGTAACGTATGGTAATACTTGATAAAATAGGCTGCAAACGAAGACAATTACAAGAGCGTAACCGGCAGTTCATTTCTTTGGTAGAAAACTGCGTTTTGTGAAGGTTGTCGTCACTCGTCTCGAAGCAGCAAGCTCCGGGATCAGCCTCAGCAGTAAGAAGGATACCACGAGGTAGTATGCGCATCTACAAAGGGCGCATGCATAGTCCGTCGTCCGATCGTAACGATACGTGAAGAAACTTCGAATATTCAGGCAAGTCTGACAAGCGACAGTTACAATCGTTGCTGTCGGACGACCGACTATGCATGCGCCCAAAGAGCGTGCCATGCCGTTGCACAAAATGCGTGGTTAGGTCATTTGTAGTTAAGGGGCTGCAACACTGACCCCCATTGCAACGCTCCCAGCCACTTCGTACCACATTTAAGGAGTAGTGAACGGAAGTGTGAGATCTTCGATTTTTATTTCACACTTTGAAAATCAATTCAAAACTTTAGTTTCTTTTCTCGTAGATGTCATTTCAACAATAAACTGATGTTCGAACTTTCCAAAAAAACATACTTCGAAAGGAACGTCCTTGCCATTTGCAACATGCTGGCGACTCTCCTGTTCAACTGCGGATGAGGAACATGCATCATCGGATGTTAATCGTCTATAT